GATCCCCGTGGGGTCATCTCCCAGGCTGCACGGCCCAGCTCCCCTCACCCTGGGGGGCTTCGCTCTGCTTCCAGCCAGCTTCCAGGACAGGTAGATCTGAGCTGCCCCGTCCAAACATCCTCTTCCTCGTCTGGAGACTGAAGGAGCTAAAAATGCATCGCTCAGCCCAGGAAAACAAACACTGCGCTTCCCTTGCCTTTGTATACAGGACACAAGGCCAAGGTCACAGAGGCAGTGAGGTGGGCACCGCGGGCTGTCTGTCTGCCTTCCTGGGGTCTCTCTGGTACTCGCAGCCACAGTGGCCAGACCCTCACCAGGGTAGGGGGTCTCTAACAGAAGGAGTGTCGGTTCTATGTGAGGACACCCCCCCAGGTGATGTGCCCTGGCTTCCTCAGCCTTGCTTGGGCTCATCTGCTAGCCCTGTCTCTGCAGTTCACTCTGTGTGTGTGTGTGTGTGTGTGTGTGTTTGCTTGGGCTCGTCTGCTAGCCCTGTCTCTGCAGTTCACTGTGTGTGTGTGTGTGTGTGTGTGTGTGTGTGTGCGCGCGCGTGTGTAGCTTGGAGTCATGATAGCGATAATCCTGATAGCCAGCATTTGTAGAGCCCTCCTGCTTTTAGCACTCAGGATTCATTGACTCTTTTGACTCTTTGCGGGAATTACCCCTGTTATCCACATCTTACAGATGAGCAAACTGAGGCTCAGCAAGGTGGAGTAACTCGTTCGAGGTCACGCGTGAGGAAATGGTAGAGCTGGGCTTTGAACCCGGGCTGTCTTTGATGGGAAGCCTATTCCCTTGCCCTCTCTAGGCCTCAGTTTCCCCATCTGTAAAATGAACACATATGACGTAAATGCCTCCCTTGCTGGTGACTGTGAGGCTGAAGCAGGGCCGATGGGGAGGCAGGGACGGAGCAGGCAGAGGCCTGGGGGAGCGACTGCAGCTCTGTGGTGTGGGGCAGTGTGTGCCCTTTGCTGTCACACAGCCTGGGGCTGGGGTCTCAGGTCCTTTGTGGCATGGCCTTGGACTGACCCCAGTTTGGAGCCCTATGTCCAAGCTGGAAAAAGCACACTTGCCTGGCACGGGTGCTGTCAGGACCCTCACAGCCGAGCGAGGGTACCTGGGACACAGCATTCCCACCCTCTGGACTTGAGTTTGCCCCTGGGATTGAAGCTAAGTCCTTCCTCGACCCTGGGTTCCCACTCCTAGAGTGTGAGATGATTTTAATGGACAGGAGTGTGGGTGGATTGTTCTAAACACCCAGTCCATAAAGGCCCCTGACCTTGGGCAGCCCCCCAATCCCCACCCCAGCACTTGGCTGACGGCTGTGGCTACTTGGTTTTCCACTTGGCTCACACCAGTCAAGGGTTTGGGGGTGAGCATTACGGGGGTGTATCTCCTACACTCCATAAACCTGTTCTCAGCCCTACTGGAAAGCCTGATTCCTCAGTGGCCCCAAAGCCAGAGATGAGCTGGGGCCTTTCTGGGTCTGTGAGGGTGGTGCCCCCTCCCCACCTCTCTCCACCTCTCAGGCAGAGTCTGACATCTTCGCACCGATAGGCCAGAACTCAGAAACAGGTAAGATGTTTACTCATTTATTCATTCCTTCAGCAGACATTTATTGAGCAGCTACTGTATGGTGGAAACTGGAACCAGGCCCTTGCTCACCCAGACCTCAGTCTAGTGCTAGACGATAAATGGGCAATGACAATACCATGGGGTACCTGCTGTGGGAACCCAGAGCAAGCAACAAGCCGGGAGTGGGGGGGTGGGGGTGGGGGTGGCTTTCTGGAGGGCATGCCAACTAAGCCAAGACTGATAGGAGGAGAGCAGGTGTCCTGTAGAGAACCGCCTCTGTGGAAAGACCCATTCATTCACATGGTGCCTGCAAGGAGACGGGACAGGCAAAAGGTTCACATGGCATTCAGGCCCAGTGCCATGTGCTCCTTGCGGCCTCTGTGGTTCCTGTCCTGCCACTTCTAACCAGTGAACAAGGACATCTAGATTTAATGATTTGTGTCTATCTCATTCAAGAGCCCGGGAGGTCCCAAATGCCAGGACTGTGTCTCCTTCCTCATTCCGTTCCCTGGTGCTTCACACAGGGCCCCGCACACAGTAGGTGTTTATCGATGCTGGGTCCAGCAGCCTTTCCCCCTTTGCAGCCCTCCTTTGCACTCCTATAGCACCTTGCACACAAGTGCCAGCTCAACTTGGTACAGCACTTTTCAGTTGGCAAAGTACTTTTACGTATACTGTGTTTGATGCTTACACAAGTGAGTCTCGTGTGAAAAGTGTCATCATCGTCATCATCATCACCTGCCAGGAGACAGCACAGCGTGAAGGTTTAAGGGTGTGGGCTCTGCAGCTGGACTGCTTGGGTTCAAGTTCTGGCCCTACCACTTCCTGGCTGTATGACGCCGAACAAGGTGCTTAACCTTTCTGTGCTTCCTTTTCTCCATTTGTAAGACAGGAGTGACATATCTCACAGGAGCACTGAGAAGCTGCTTGCAGAGTGAGAGCGCTACCTATCACCTCAATAATAATGGTAGCTACTATCATCTCATTTACAGGTTAAGGATATAGAAGGTCAAGGTCAAGATCACCTAGCTCTCCAGTGAAGCAGGTTTTAGCTCGAAATCTTTAGACTTCAAATCCTGTGTTTTGGGATTATCTTCCCACACCCCACTTCCCTTGTCACCCTGTCTCCTAATTTGTATGTTTATGCATCTGTCTGTCCTCTGGATGGGGGCTCCTCCAAGGGCAGGAGCCTGCATTGGCATGATGCTGTCTCCCCAGTGCCTGGACAGTACCTGGCCACACTCGAAAACTGTGATGGAACATTGCCCTCTACGTGCCAAGCATCCTGCTGTGTGCTTCCATGTGGATTATCTTGTCTGAGCTTCAGGAACACTTTACGGGGTAAGCAAAATTTTTTCTACAACCATACTGAAAGACGATAAACTGTGCTTATCAGTTTTGACAATGTATATACCTATAAACCAGCAACGATGACATTTTCATCACTCATGTTGATGGAACATTGCCCTCTACGTGCCAAGCATCCTGCTGTGTGCTTCCATGTGGATTATCTTGTCTGAGCTTCAGGAACACTTTACGGGGTAAGCAAAATTTTTTCTACAACCATACTGAAAGACGATAAACTGTGCTTATCAGTTTTGACAATGTATATACCTATAAACCAGCAACGATGACATTTTCATCACTCCTAAAATCCCTCCCTCCCTTCCTCTCTCCAACCATAGGTTTATTCCCCAGTTTACAGGGGAGGAAATCAAGGTACTGAGAGATTAACCTTCCCAGAGACACTCAGCCAGCAAGAAGTCACTCCAGGATTTGAACCAAGGCGACCTGCCCATGGCCTCTCAGCCACTGCTCCTTGCTGCCCAGGTGGTCATGGGCAGAGGGTGGGTGTGTGTGACTGTAAAGAGTCCTCCCTCCTCTGCACCATCCCTGCTCAGGTCCAAGAAGATGATTTATGAAGAGATGTTGGTGTGTCTGTCTCAGTGACTGAGGGTGTGTGCATGTGTGAGGAACAGGCTGTCGCCCCAGAGGGATGTTTGGGTACAAAGGGCAGATGAGAGAGACACCGCAAAGAGACCAGACAAAGTGTCCTAAAGCCAGGAGCCAGGTGATGCAGTGAGCCTGCGGGTCCCATGGTGGGTGCTGGGCTCAGCGGGTGTGCGTGTGACTCTGTGACTGTGACCATGTGACTGCTGAAGACAGGGACATAGCAGCTCCCAGAGCTAGGGGCGGATGGTGTTAACTGTGTGAATGCTGGTGTGGGTGGGCGGCCTTGGGCCTGGAACCTGGGGGCTGAGGGAAGTAGTAAACATCAGGGTGACTGGCGGATCATGACGGTAGTCCTGCAAGGATGCTGCAGGATTGTGGGGGTTCGTGTGACTTTGCAGTTCAACAAATTCAAATTCAGTCAATGCTGGCAGTGCCTGTTGTATGCCAGGCAACCAGCTAGGAGGAGGAGACAAGGACCCAGCTTTCGGCTGAACGGTACTGGCTGTGGGTTTCGTGCGATCATCTTGCGGATGGCTTGGGGCTGGGTGCTTTCCGTCCTTTCTGGCATTAGGTCCTCACGGTAACCGTAGCCCACTTTGAGGCTAGCCAGAGGAGCGCAGAAAGAAAGTGACTTGCCCAAGGTGACCCAGCTACTCAGCACCAGGGCATGACATTGCAGAGCCCGAGTCCTTCTCCACCATGCCTGTGCCCAGGGTGCAAATGTCTGGTCCTGGATGCCAACTTGGATGGCCATGGCCCTGGAGACATCTCCTCAAACACATGGAACCAGGCCACACGGTCACTCTGTTGAGGGGCTCAGAGGTTGGTTGCCCCTAGCCTTCCTTTTCCAAGGGCCAGACTCCGGGACAGAGGTGCTGCTGGGCTCTCAGAGACCCCTAAGCGCCCCATCCTTGCCTCAGGCCTTCCCAAGCTCCTGCCCCCGCCCCCCCTTTCCCTCCCGGTGCTGACTCTCGGCCAGAAGAGGAAAGGCTGTCTCCACCCACCTCTCGCACTCTCCCTTCTCCTTTATAAAGGCCGGAACAGCTGAAAGGGTGGCAACTTCTCCTCCAGCCGCCGGGAGCAGCCCGCCTGCCTCCCTGAGCGCCCGCAACCTCCCCCGCTGCCTCTGTGAGGGCTCTCCTCTGGCCGCCAGCGCCCATCTTTCATTCCCGAGATAGAGATATTTTGCACACACGCACACACACGCACACACGCGCGCAAAAAGAAAAAAAAAAAAAAGCCCACCCTCCAGCCTCGTTGCAAAGAGAAAGCCGGAGCAGACGCAGCTCAAAGCCCGCAGAGGACGCCCAGAGTGGCGAGCGGGCGGACAGACGGACCTACCGACTCGCGCCGCGTCCACCTGTCTGCCGCGCACGGCCCAGGGCTCAG